ATTTTTTGTGTCCATTATGAAAAAACGTAAACAAAAAGTCGAAATTTAATTAGTTATACTCATGATGCAATAATAAGGTGATGTGTCACAACAAAAACTTTTATTTTTGTCTCGACCATCTGTAAAATTTTTCCTTATGATGCATCACATTATTATTGCATCATGGCTTCTCCAAAAAGTGCCAAAAAAGAGGTGGTTGGCATCGCCATACCTATTCACATATGACCATGATGCAATAATAAGGTTATGTATCAAAACAAAAACACTTCTTTTTGTCTCGATTATCTGTCAAATTTTTCCTTATAATATTTCAAATAGACCATGTTATGTTAATCGGATAATCAGCTGCGCTAAATAGAGTATCTATTTTTGGACTACCTATTCATTGTGCCATGCATATGACTATTGTTTTTGGCAACACTAAATTCTACGAGAAAGTCCAAAGTTTTTGTTTTGGTATTTAAATTGTCAATTTTCATCTGATATACATATGGCAAATAAATCAGATATATTTACGAAGCGCGTGCTTTAAGTGCAAGTCTGCCCGGATTTTTTCAAGATTCCTGTTTTTAATTAAAAAGTGCTGCCACAATGAAATATTCAACTTTATCATTAATTTTATTTTCTCTGTAACACTTGACAAAAACAAAACAAGTCACTCTTATATTTTTAGACATTTCAAGCAAGTACTCCGACTAATACTACTTATGATTAATCTTAAACGATAATTATCTTATCTTGAATAATAAAAACGAATATAATTTTGTTTTCGTTTTCGATTTTTTTATTTTTGCAATTTTTTGTGGGGACTTTTGCAATGTTTGCTTGGAGTTTGTTTCACAGTTGGAAATTTGAAATCGTTTCGCAAGACTCATAAACTATAGAAAATAATTATAAGAACAATGTTAGGTGATGTTGGAGGATTCATTATAATGCTTTCGGCATTTATATTTTTTATGGCATTATTTTTATTTGTCCTTTTGCCATATTGTAATTATCGTTGGGCAATGCGGCAGCAGAATAATAATAATGGTAAATATTTGAAATTGATTAAATAGTGATAATGTTAAAGTGTAATAAATGAAATGTCACAATTATGATTGGGAAATTTGTGATTGATGTGTAAAAATCACAGAAAGAATTGAATTTGTTCTTTGTCGTTGGCTATAGTGTTGCCAAAAACAATAACAATAATGGCGATGCCAACCTAATGCCAAAGTGATATCAACTCCTTAATGCAATAAGGTGCAGTTCGTCCTCGGACGGCTCACAAGAAAGACGTAAAATTTTAAATGTCGATTTTTACAAAATGGCGGTTGTTAAGCGTTCGCTTAACTAACACGTGCGTTTTTAAATACGGATAACCTATAAAACAATAAACAGCTGCGCATGGAATTTTCAATTTTCGCGAAGATGCTTTTCGCAACTATGTGACTCCTTCACAGTAGAAGAGTTCACTGATACACAAGGCTTAGAAAGTCTGAACTTTGTGGTCAAATTATTAAAGAAGATCGAAGTCAACCTGTAAAACACAAACCACCATCTATGGATAAAGTCAATAATAAGACATGGCACTAAACCTTCTATCCCTATAGAAAGTGGGCCAACCAAAATAATACATAAAAAAAAAAAAAAAAAAATAATGCAATAAGGTGATGTATCAAAACAAAAACATTTGTTTTTATCTCGACCAGCTCTCAAAATTGTCCATATAATATTTCACATGGTTGGCAACATTGCACATCGAATCTAATTAGAAACCATGATGCAATAATAAGGTGATGTATCAAAACAATAACAATTTTTTTGTCTCGACCATGGCACAATGAATGGAACAGGTGATGTCTTTGTTAATTATCAAAGTGCGTAATTTCTACTTGAATTCGATGTGCAATGTTGTCAACAATGTGAAATATTATAAGGACAAATTTGACAGATGGTCGACACAAAAAAAAAGAGTTTTGTTTTGATACATCACCTTATTATTGCATCATGGCCTCGACCATCTGTCAAATTTGTCCTTATAATATTGCACATGGTTGGCAACATTGCACATCGAATTCAAATGGACATTACGCACTTTAACAGTTAATCGAGTCATCAGCTGCGCTAAATTGCCTACCTTTTTATTGTGCTATGGTGTTATATCAAAACAAAAACAACCGTTTTTTTTCCAAACCGTTTGTCAAATTTTATGTAGTAATATTTCTCATTGTTGGCAACATTGCACGTCGAATTCAAGTAGCATCTATCCACTTTGACAGTTAATCGGATAGTCAGCTGTGCTAAATGCAGTACCTATTTATTGTGCAATAGTGAACTCAACTACATGTCAAACATTTGTAGGTGTTCCTAAGGCTCTTTTACACTGTGCCAAATTGAGTTACAAACTCCCAGCTGTTTAGAATAGCATTAAAATGATATCAAGTTGGTAGTCAGCTGTTATTTGTCTACGTATACATACATTTCTTACTGGTTTCCAAATTTCTGTGGCAAATTTTCCATTAATATGTTTATACTTACCTTTACCATACATTTTGTTTAAAAACCCCCACCCAAAATATAACTTCTTCCCCACTCTGGTCGATAATATTACCAACATTTTCTTAAATCCCCAACCACTTGTGCCACATTCTTTTTTGCCATATTTACCCCCCTCATTCCAAATATGAAACACTTTTAAAGGAAATCACAACAACAACAAAATCCCTGTACTTATTCTCTTTCTCTCACTTCTCGATCATAAATTATTAATCTTATCAGAAGAATGCCTTTGTTTTCTCTTCAAATTACAAAAAAAATAATAATTAGGTGTCAGTTGATATCTGCCAACGTTTATTGACTTCAGTCAGTATTATTAGCCGTTTGTCGGACAAATTATGTCTTTCTTAAATGTTTATACGATTTGTGGTTTATTGTTACTTGTCGTTTTGCCATGTTTTTGTTATTTTGTCTATTTGTCAATGTTTCGCGCTGCAAGAATAGAAGCTGAGGCGTTATCAAGTAAATGCATAATAATAAGATGTGATATGATACAAAAAGTGGTGCTTTAAATTGTCAGTTCCATTACCTCTCACAGGGGAGGTTAACTCGACAAAAAATACTAGTGTTGTAATAAAAAAAAATTATAAAAATATATCCCTATTGCGCATTATTAAGCTAGGTTTATATGACATTTTAATAGAACGCATTGCCAACCCTATTAAAAATATATCCACTTAGCACAGCTGATGTATTGATTAAATGTCAATGTGGGCAATTTCTACTTGAATTCGATGTGCAGTGTTGCCAACCATGTGAAATATTATATGGAAAAATTTGACAGATGGTCGAGACAAAACAAAGGTTTTTGTTTTGATACATCACCTTATTATTGCATCATGGCAATCAGCTGATGTTTGTTTACACGTACATAAATTAATAATTTTACCACCAATTTCTTTTCAAAATAAAATGTTTAATACGAATTTCAATGGTATAATAATAGAAGATAACAGCAAGTGTTGTTGTACAACAAACGATACAACAACAACATGGAAATTTGTTATTGTAAGTTATACTAGTGTCAACGTCATTTGACACAAAAATGTAAACAAACAAACAAATTAGATTTATTTTGAAAATGAAATATTTTCGAATCCTTAAAATAAAATTTGAAAAACGTGAATGAAAATCTACCAAATTTATATTTCTATCGCTACCACATCTTGCCTATAATTGAGCCATGGCACAATGAATAGGTAGTCCATTTAGAGCAGCTGATGTCTTGATTATCTGTCAAATTATATGAATTCGATGTGCAATGTTGCCAACCATGTGACATATTATATGGAAAAATTTGACAGATGTTCGAGACAAAAACAAAGGATTTTGTTTTGATACATCATCTTATTATTGCATCATGAATTGAGCCATTGCCTATTGTGAAGCTCATATGAAAATGCAGGGAATTGGGAGAAGAAAGATTTGCTTCCTCAAACTTTCCCACAGGCAGATTGATAAATTGAATACGGGAGTACATTTAATAAAGTACAATTTCAAATTGTATGCGTTCCCAAATTCCCTGTTGGGTGATTTTTAATAACATATTTTGTCAAATTCATATTGACACTAGTATTACGTTGCAATCAAATCAGCTGGGATTTGATGTTACCTTTTATGATTGTACCATGACGAATTTCATTTATATGCACTATATGTCAAATAATCTACATGTTTTTATAACAAAATTATGTTTTAAAGTATGTTTACATTTACGAAATCCCCTCGATCTCCTGCATATGTCACATCCATAGTATAGACGTCAAATAAAATTTACAAATAAGATTTCATGGCACAATGAATAGGTAGTCCATTTAGCACAGCTGATGCCTTGATTAACTGTCAAAGTGTGTAATTTCTACTTGAAATCGATGTGCAGTGTTGCCAACCATTTGAAATATTATATGGAAAAACTTGACAGATAATCGAGACAAAAACAAAGGTTTTTATTTTGATACATCACCTTATTATTGCATCATGTACGATTTTTTAAATTTACCAATAAGATTTACATGACGTACGCAATATGGAATTGCTTGTTGAGATCGAGTCGATTTCATAGTATAGATGAGCAGGGGACAGTCGTACTTAACAGTGTTCCGTCGCTCCGTCGATTTTAGAAAATATTCTATCTACATCATTGATTAAATTCGCGGACTTTATCATACAAATTTGGTCTATCGTGATCCGATTGACGGATATTGTTTGGAATTATACCTTAAGGTAGAACAATTATACCGATAATGGCCTCGAATATAAACATAATACTTATAGAAAGTATTCAAAAATTAAGAAAGCATTATGCAAATGCCCTCTTAATTACAAAAGTCTTCAATCTATAGTAGAATTATATAGGACATGCTAAAGACATACTAAAAGCACTTTACTATACCAATTATCTACACATTATTTATACAAAATTAAATGCAATTACTTATTATTATTTTTCCCCATTTCAGATCGTCAGGCCAACGTCTTTACCATACACGATGAGAACAGTCGAGAGAGCCGCTACAATGACATTTTCTTCATTGAACCGAACAGCGTGGAGGCAGCACGTATACGAGCCCAATTGGAAAAGGATGATAAGGATTTGCCCACATACGAAGAAGTTATGCGAATGACTAGCATGAATCCGACAACGACCAGTGCGGCAGCTGGAGTCACAGGCATGACAGCCTCAAATGCCAGTGTTAATACAACCGAAACAATATTATCAGTACCGCCATATAGTGAAGTTGATCCAATTGCGGCAGCAGCAGCACCAAGTTCAAGGTCAGGAAATGCCAATGCCAGTAACTCAACAGCGACAGCCGTAGCGAGATCTTCAACATCACCACCACCCATGCCAGCAGCAATGGTCTCAAATTCCGTCGATATTACACAACAATCTGCATCGATTGTATGATATCGACACGGATCAAAGGGTGGGGCGGGATCATTATGCCTACATACATAGCTAGTGTGTTAGCCTGCAGGGCGGGATAACAATTTTGGAGTTCTTTTCTTAGTTATTAATTTAAAAGAAGTGAAACAAACAACGATATTTTGTATTTAAAAAACAAATTCATTATTATAAGAAAAATATACAAAAACACTTCATTCAATTGGTTGGAACGAGAGGGGCCGAAATTCCCCTCATGGAAATACTTGTACATATTTAATGATTTACATAATTAACCTGCCAAGTGAAGTAGTGTTTTTGTTTATTATTGTAAATATTATTAGATATTGCTATTAATAAATATATATACATACCTGTGTAATATCATATGTATATCATTTTTTGTTATATACATTATGAATATTTCGTTAAAAGAAAAATACATTAAATTTTATTAAAATAAAAATTTTTAGGTTAGATTTTATAAAATTAATTGTGGATTGTTTTATTTTCAATACTTTTAAAAAGCTAACTATTAAAAATTGAACAATATAAAAACAGCGTTGACTTTTTCAACCTCCATTTTTTATTTTTTCTTGCCCCAGGCGTAGATTTTTTTCAGATCCATACATAAGCGTAGATTTCTTTTAATATAAATATCTTTCAAGCTCCATATATAGACGTGCAGTTAAAAATAATATTCATGCTCCACATATAGGAGTGGTATTAAGATCATTTTTTTAATATTTATTAAAACTATTTTTTGAGCTCCGCATATATTTTTTTATGTCCCAAATGTAGGCGTAGATTTTTTAAAATATTTGTTTAGCCTCAGGAGTAGTTTTTTTTAAAAATATGTTTCAAGCTGCAAATTCAGGAGTAGATTTTTTAAAGTTTTTTTATATTTGTTAACCCTAGATAGGCGTGCATTTTTTAAAAATATTTTTTTAATCCATAGATAGTCGTTCATTTTTTTAAATATAGGCGTGGATTTTTTAAAAATATTTTTTCAAGGCTTGGATTTTTAAAAATATTTTTTCAAGGCTTGGATTTTTTACAAATATTTTTTCAAGGCGTGAATTTTGTAAAAATATTTTTTTCAAGCCTTGGATTTTTAAAAATATTTTTTCAAGGATTGGATTTTTTAAAAATATTTTTTCAAGGCTTTGATTTTTTAAAAATATTTTTTCAAGGCTTGGATTTTTTATAAATATTTTATCAAGGCTTGGAGTTTTTATAAATATTTTTTCAAGGCTTGGATTTTTTAAAAATATTTTTTCAAAGCTTGGATTTTTTAAAAATATTTTTTCAAGGCTTGGATTTTTTAAAAATATTTTTTCAAGGCTTGGATTTTTTAAAAATATTTTTTCAAGGCTTGGATTTTTTAAAAATATTTTTCAAGGCCTAGATTTATTAAAAATATTTTTTCTAGTTACTGGCGTAGATATTTTAGAAATATTTTTTTCTATCCCCAGGCGTAGATTTTTTAAAAGTATAATCTTCATTCAGCTCATCTATAAAGAAGACATCGTTCTTCAACTCGTCTATGAAAGACTCCCTTCAGCTCGTCTATAAAGAAGACTCCCTTCAGCTCGTCTATAAAGAAGACTCCCTTCAGCTCGTCTATAAAGAAGACTCCCTTCAGCTCGTCTATAAAGAAGACTCCCTTCAGCTCGTCTATAAAGAAGACTCCCTTCAGCTCGTCTATAAAGAAGACTCCCTTCAGCTCGTCTATAAAGAAGACTCCCTTCAGCTCGTCTATAAAGAAGACTCCCTTCAGCTCGTCTATAAAGAAGACTCCCTTCAGCTCGTCTATAAAGAAGACTCCCTTCAGCTCGTCTATAAAGAAGACTCCCTTCAGCTCGTCTATAAAGAAGACTCCCTTCAGCTCGTCTATAAAGAAGACTCCCTTCAGCTCGTCTATAAAGAAGACTCCCTTCAGCTCGTCTATAAAGAAGACTCCCTTCAGCTCGTCTATAAAAGAGACTCCCTTCAGCTCGTCTATAAAGAAGACTCCCTTCAGCTCGTCTATAAAGAAGACTCCCTTCAGCTCGTCTATAAAGAAGACTCCCTTCAGCTCGTCTATAAAGAAGACTCCCTTCAGCTCGTCTAAAAAGAAGACTCCCTTCAGCTCGTCTATAAAGAAGACTCCCTTCAGCTCGTCTATGAACGACTCCCTTTAGCTCGTCTATAAAGAAGACTCCCTTCAGCTCGTCTATAAAGAAGACTCCCTTCAGCTCGTCTATAAAGAAGACTCCCTTCAGCTCGTCTATAAAGAAAACTCCCTTCAGCTCGTCTATAAAGAAGACTCCCTTCAGCTCGTCTATAAAGAAGACTCCCTTCAGCTCGTCTATAAAGAAGACTCCCTTCAGCTCGTCTATAAAGAAGACTCCATTCAGCTCGTCTATAAAGAAGACTCCCTTCAGCTCGTCTATGAAAGACTCCCTTCAGCTCGTCTATGAAAGACTCCCTTCAGCTCGTCTATAAAGCTATAAAGACTCCATTCGGAGCTCGTCTATAAAGACTCCCTTCGGAGCTCGTCTATAAAGACTCCCTTCGGAGCTCGTCTATAAAGATTCCCTTCGGAGCTCGTCTATAAAGACTCCCTTCGGAGCTCGTCTATAAAGACTCCCTTCGGAGCTCGTCTATAAAGACTCCCTTCGGAGCTCGTCTATAAAGACTCCTTTCGGAGCTCGTCTATAAAAACTCCCTTCGGAGCTCGTATATAAAGACTCCCTTCGGAGCTCGTCTATAAAGACCCCCTTCGGAGCTCGTCTATAAAGACTCCCTTCGGAGCTCGTCTATAAAGACTCCCTTCGGAGCTCGTCTATAAAGACTCCCTTCGGAGCTCGTCTATAAAGACTCCCTTCGGAGCTCGTCTATAAAGACTCCCTTCGGAGCTCGTCTATAAAGACTCCCTTCGGAGCTCGTCTATAAAGAATCCCTTCGGAGCTCGTCTATAAAAACTCCCTTCAGCTCGTCTATAAAGACTCTCTTCAGCTCGTCTTTAAAGACTCCCTTCAGCTCGTCTATAAGGACTCCCTTCAGCTCGTCTATAAAGACTTCCATACTGGTCTTCCCATGAAAGAACTCTTATGGAAATTTTCCTCTCATAGAAATCCTAAGTCTTCTTATAGAATACCTATTAGTCTACCTAATGTTAGAAGACCGAACGTTCCGATCATAGAAGTGCTATTGATTTTCTAATAAAAGTTCTAATGGTCTTCTGGACTTCTTTTAGAAGACCTATTGCTATTCTCAAAGGAAACGTATTTGGATTTCTAATTAGTTTTCTTATGAATTTCTTGATCTATTTTTGTAGACCTCTAGGTATTCTCTATAGAATGTAAATTATTTAAATTGGATAAAAAAATAATTTGGTACCGTGATGTTAATATTTAAAATTAACAATGCCTAAAAATATGCTATACATTTTAACCATTATTTATTAGAAAAGTAAACATAACATAAAAAAATTATTTAATATCAATCCAATAAAAATCACATATTTTATTTTTAAATGTTTTTTTTCTTCACATTTTAAAATGTTTTTTTTTTTTCATTTCCTATATGCATTAGATCACATATGCAGATGGAAAAAGCTCATTAGTCAAGACACCAACCAATGTGCGCTTTAACCTAAAAGTTATTACATCTACCACACAGGATTACAAACCACACAGAAAATTTTAGGGTTTCTTTTTTTGTTGTTGTTTTTATTAAAATGTTCTTTTTATGTATATTTTTTGTTTGTTTTGTTTTTTTCTTCGTTCCATTACTTTGTTGATTTCCTTTTTTATTAAGTGTATTCATTTTTTCTTTAAATACAATTTGTTTTTGTTGTTGTATCGTTATTATATATATTTTTTGAAAATAGAATTTTGTTGTTAAACAATTTATAGTACAATTATAAAATAATAATGATACAATAATGGTTGTTGTTGTAGTTGTGGGGGTGTGTGTGTGTGCTTGTTGGTAAGGGTACTCAATGACTGAACGACTGTTGGTATGAGCCAGAGCACAAAAAACACAGTGGGGAATAGGTAGGTAGGCTAATGAGTGGTGGATGAGTAATATCTAGAGATATTGCAAGGAAAGCGTTTCGTGACAACTGAAGAAGTACAATAATGAGCAGGGGCTGGTGGTCCGACATTAAGTGTCAAATGATGATTCTATTTAGTTTATATATTTTTTTGGATAGATTGTGTTGAGACTTCGCTTCTTCTATATGTGTTTGTTGTTGTTCTCTTTGTTACAACTGTTACTATTATTATTATCGATTTGGTGGAATAAAAAGTGGCAGCAAAAGGATCCGGGGGGGTTAAATAAATACAAAAGGAACAGAGCGGGGGCGACAAAGCTTGCTTACATTTTCATGACATTACAATTGTTGTTATTATTGTTATTGTTGCTGTTATTACATTTCTGCTTAGGTGCAATTAGTTATGAAGTCTTTTTTTCAGTTTTGTTTTTCATTTTCTTCATTCATTTGTCACTTTGCTGCTGCGTGCATATTCTTTTTTTTTTGTTCTAGCTGTCATCTAACGCTTACTAATCGGCTGGCCTTTTTTCACTATTCTTGCGGGTAAAATCTTCAGCATTCTTCATGAACTTCTTTCGATCCCTCAGAAACTCCTCCGCCAAATCGGAACGCAATGGATGTTCCGGTTCCGGATCGTTTATCAGAGCTATCAGCGCCTGTATAACTTGATCTGTTCGTGTGGCAGGTTTCCAATTTTCCGTGCTAATTATGGGCAAACACACCTGACCCTTTTCATCGATGTTCGGGTGGTAGATTTTTGTTTTGAAATTAATCTTTGGTGGCTTAAAGGGGTACTCGGCCGGAAAATTGATCTCAATGCGAAAAGCTCCCTTGTTGTAGGGTGCATTTTCGGGTACAATCAAGCCGGTCCATCGCAAGAGGTTGTCATCATCGGTGGCAATTTCACGAAAGGATTTCAATTGACATTGTTGTAGATCTGTTAATTCCTTGCGTAAACGACGTGGCGCTGTCATCGTGTTGGCCGTTTTCTTTTTTTTCTACAATAGGACGAAAATAATTTTGGCAATGATGTGTTCCGATGATTTTCCGATTTAACCAACTGGAAATGTATAAAAATATTCGAGAATAACTAGTTCAATGTAACGATTCTGTGAAATGAGCCATAGGAACGATTACTCGTGGTACGCTATTCACTGTAAAATGATAACTGATAGTGATTTACACTGTAAAATGATTACCGTTAACGAATAAACCGAGAAAAAAAAATGATTACCGTCGTTCTTTACACCATAAAATGATTTCAAATTAAAGTTATATATATTTTTATGTATATTTAAATAAATATTTATTAAATTTTCGATTCATGAAATTACTTAAGTGTGTAATGGCACAAACAGAAAAACACAATTAAATTAAAATGTCGGGTCAAGTTCGATTAGAAAAATTCGTCGCAATTTGTAAATATATTTGTAAAAATAAGTACAATTTGTAAAAATAAGCACAAGATCGGTATAGTTATTGTGGTGGGCCCGCTTTCAATAACCTTATATTCGCGATTAAGGCGCGGTTAGACTGTGCAAATCGTCTCGATTTGGTAATCAATGTATCAAATCCTGACGAATCCATACAAATTTCAGTGGTATCATAATTTCTGAGGCAATTTTAAATTAATATTTTCATAAAGTTGTTACGTTCCCCATTAGATCAAAATTTTCATAAAGTTTTTATGTTCCCCATAAGGTCAAAAATGATAAAAAAATTATTGTTAATGTCTATTTCGTGGTTTCAAAAGTATGGAACTGAAATTCAACTCTATCAAACTAATTTTCAAATATTTTAACTTTGTAAAATTCCAAACTATTTTTTGTAAAATTCCAAACGAAGGAATTCGAGTGAATTACGACCAAACCTTTATTTATGTTTATATTCTGATTCAAAACATCTGATTCTGATTATTATCTGATTCAAAACAAAAATAAATGACACATTTTTCAAAACCAAGGAATTTGGTCGCAAGTCACTCGAATTCGTTCGCTTGGAATTTTACAAAAATAGGCTGTAAGGGTCTGTTTCAAATACTTTATGGGCTGGGCATTACCGTTTCGCTCTTTCTGCTGAATATACCGCTGATGTAAGTTAAAGTCGAAGAACCGAATGTTCCGATTGCTCGTCCTTCTCATGAACAAGTACAATATGGCGTATTTTGCTTTTAGATCCTCACCTTCGTCCATATATAAAGTCCAGCTTATGGAATGGGTGCTTAAAAATTGTCATTGAAAATTGTTAACGAAATTGTCATTCATGACTAAGCACATGGTACGTCGTCGAAAATGTCGTTCTTCTCGAAATATGAAAACAAAACAAAAATCTGAATCGAGTGTACTATAAAATATTGACAGAAACAAATAGAAAATTCTTTCTGAAAATATATATAAGAAAAAGAAGACGTGTTTTCTTGGTTAAAAAAGGTAAGTTTAAACGAATATATAATTATTTATATCTTTATTTAAATGCATTGTTTTACTCTTAGGATGGGGCAAATAAATGGCAATTGGTGAAATATTGTAAGTATTATATGAAAGATGTTTCATATTCCAATCCATTTTAATTTAGTTATTTCTTTACAGATGATGTTAAAATGGAGATAATCATTACGCCAACTTCTCAGGCAATGTGCTTATTTATATTATATGATATTATGTAAATATAAGGTATGTTTTTGTTATAATAATTTCATGGAAAAATATGTTGTTTTTGGGGTATGATTGACGACAAGATTGATGACAATAGGTTTACAGTCATCAAAGAATGTGTAAACGACAGGAAGTGAATCTGTCGTTAACGAAAAGTAGGGAGATTAATCGCCGAAGTTGTCGTCAACGACCTGTCGTCGCCCAAGTTGTCGTGTATGAATACTGCGACACTTGTGTGAAAATTTCGTCAACGATTTCACATTGTTGTCTGCAAAGTGTCTTCAAGGAATTGCCATTGTCTTACACGATTCATTAATGTTGTCTGCAAGACACAAATTAAATTGAAATATATTAAAACTTAATTTGAAGTAATTACTTTGTTATGGATGAAACAAAAATTTCATGGTATTCCCTACGAGATTTTGGGAAGAAATCATAACCTTTCATTAATTTTTCGCGTATATTTATTTTATATTTGACAGAAGAAGCCACCACCTATATAGTTGCTTTTTTGTATTTCACCGCAAGCTGTCCTAGGCTACGTTTACACTACTAAATCCACTCGATCTCAAATGTCAATTCCATTGCGTATACGTCACGTTAATCCTGTTCACAAATCCAGTAGATTATATTTGACGTATACGCTATGGAATTGACATTTGGATTTCATAAATCTAAACGTACCTCTAGTTTGTATTGTTGTACTGCGGATATCGCCCACTATGTGTCAATAAATGGTGGAAAATTACTTTTAAAAGAATCAATGCTTACCAATAGTTAACGTGGAGGTTGTTTATTTTTGAAACCACCAAATGGATAACCCTGTAAAGAGTATTCTGACGTCACAAGTGTCATCCAACCACTTCACACTTTTATTCTAATTTTCTATTTTTCAAATGCTCGTTTTAATTAATTTTTTAAGTGTAATTATCATAAAATAAACAATATTTCCATATAAAAACCTATTACCGAACATAAAATATTAAATTTTTTTACAGTTTGATGATTGTTGCATTTTTATAATAAAAACATGCAAATAATACAACTTTGCCACACGTTATAATACAAGACATCCCTTTATGATATTGCAGTTGATTAACGCCGTTACAAGTCACTCACTGTCAACTCCGATCTCATACATAGCCCCAATTTCTTGCAATTCTCATCAGTCGTCAAATTTTCTGTTAGAAGGGGAGACGTGTGTTAAAAACAGTTTGCGCCTTGTAAAATATATAAGAAAAAACGGAGTTTTTTTATTCATTTCTTTTTTAGTTCGAACAAATTTTCTAACCACAAAACTAATAAGACATTGCATTTTAAATTTAAATAAATTATCTCTCAAAGAAAACGTGTAACGTGATTTGAAACAAACAAGAAATAAAAAAGTGGGGTAATAAAGACAACCAAAGAGCCAAATAAAAAAAAAATACCAGAAGAGACCCAAAAAAAGAAACACATTCATACACTTGAAACCCAAAAAACAAAAGGAAGACTCAAAGACACAATTCATTTTATTTTTTTTTCTTTGCCTTTGTGTCTTGTTGAACTCCACGTGAAAGTGGGAGCGAACGATTTATCTACGCCTCACGATATAGAAAAAGAAAACTGCCAACACTGATCCACATATATATGTATGTGCATAGCGAGAGACACACATTCACATAGTGCGCTCTAATTGTTGTACGGGTTGGTCTCTATAAAATAATTAAAAAAAACACATTTCACTTTTTTGCTTCCTTCGCCGCCGACCGATGGCATTAAACAACAACAACAATAAAATAATTAAAGCAAATTGCAATTGACCGACAGATTCCTCTCATTTAAGAGAAGAGAAGAGCAGCAATGAACGGTGATTGACATTTATATTAATTTGCTTAATAACTGTAACTTAAAAGACTGAATTAATTAAATTAACTACTTTAGTGAGAAACGAGAAATTAAATTAAAAAAAGTTTTATAATATTTAAGAAAACATTTATACATATTTAAACCACGACGACATTATTTTCGTTTTTGTTAACAAATTCACACACAAGAGCGAGAGAAAATAAGTGAGTAAATAATGAATAATTAGCACAGCCAAAGCAAAAAAACAACCAAGAATAAGAAAAAGCTAACGAAACAAGAAAAAAGTTTATTTAAAATTAAAAAAAGTCATAACGCAAAGTGCAAAAAAAGAAACGAATAGAAGAAAAAAAGACACATTCACACACTTACGAACAGCTGTGCTTGACCGTTCCAAAATATTCATCAAAACACATAACCAAACACACACACAAAGCAAAACAACAACAAATAAATGACCAATAAACACTGACCACAAACAATTTGTGTACGAAGTGAAACAAACGGCCGAAACAAAAACAACAACAAGAAACTTGTGTGTTTGTGCACGACTAGCCAAATCAAGTGTTATAATAATCCAAAAAGAAAACGGGAAAAACAAATTATTGCTACAACAAAATTCCTATACTATTATTCATTATAAATAATTAAAAAAAACGAATAGAAAAAAATCACAAATATTAATAAATCAATTGAGAGATACAAAAAATAGAAATATACTCATACGGTTTGAAAACAATTGAGAGAGAGAAAAAATAGAGTGCAAAAAATAAATCCACACACTGACATCTTAATCAAAATATAATAAGAAAAAATCTGTCAAGAAAAAAATATATTTTTTTTGGTGAAAAGATTTCAAGTGGTGTACCAAAGTGCAAGTGTCTGCTAAAGAAAAAGAAAATACGAAACAAAAAAAGGAATAAGTTCAACAAATAAGAATCCAATTGGAATTAACATCTATTTTCCAACCAACCAACACAACTCATTGGCAAAGCCCATCTCTGTTGAGTGTGTTGGTGTTTTTTGTTGTAAATCTGTGTGGAGGCGTTTGCAGTTTAGAAGAGGTGTCTCATACAGCAACAACAACAACTATAACGACCACGACGACGACCATCAAAACTAAACCTTACGAACTATAAAAATTATAACAACAAAAACGAATCAAAAATCATCCGTCATCGAAAGCGTATTTGTTTTTGTCGTGCCGCTGTCTCATCATTGTTGATTTGATTAAATTTCGTCGTCTTATATTTTTTTCAACGTGTTTTCATCTTCGTTTTCGCGTAAGCTTAGGTAAGTCTATTGAACATATGGTTACTAGGGGTGTAGAGTTGCCAAAGTTGATTTAATATTAATATAAAGTAGGGAAAAATTTAATCACCCAATTTTTTATAAAAAAAAAAACAATAAATTGCAGAAAATGGAGACGACTTAAGTCTAGTTTAGTTTTTAGTTTTGACCTGTTAGGATGATCA